CTCCTGCAGTGGGACTTGCCGAGCGAGTCTGGTCTAGAGGGGTGCGCGGCGGCACCCGTGCTTGCGCCGCCTTGCCCGCGGTGCACGGGCGAGCCTTCCCGCTCTGGCATCCTCGCCTGGGCGCTAAAAATGCTTGGAAGGTCACTGAACATGTGGATGATCACGCTGGGGAGTGGTTCTCAATGACAGATGAGGGAGTCTGGCAGGACTTCGACGAGTGGATCGACTGGTGCGTCCCGCTCGCGGCATTGCTCTTGGAGCGGCCGCGGATCGACTGGTGCGTCCCGCTCGCGGCATTGCTCTTGGAGCGGCCGCGCCTCGTCCCGCCGTTCGCGCGTGCTTCGCCGCCGCCAGCGTCGCCCCCCGATTCGACGCGGCTTCGGGCATGGGACATTTGCAATGCTGCCAGGACAGGGGCTGCGCAGAGACGCAGCAGGAACGCGGCCGTCATGGAGGCGCGGCAGGGTGATGCCTGGAATGGGGCTGCAGCGAGACACGGATGCGTTTGCTGCTCGGCGCTTCCAAGCATGCCCCATCCTCCGAGCGCGCCCAATCCGACCGGGGGACTGCTGCCAGCAACCCGCCCCGCGGTGCGCGGTGGCATTGATCGCTGACCGCCGCCTGCAGTGATAGACGGGAATTTGGTAGACGACGCGCAAGACCCACGGGCCCTCGATCGCTGGCGCGGCGGACTCCGACAGCAGCATGTCTTGCATGACCAGAATCGGGCGCCGCCGACGGGGGGGCGGGCTCGCTTTCGCCGCCCGTCGGCGGACAGGCCCCTCCCGGGCGGATAGGTTTCAGGGGGCGCAGCTGACGTCGCCGGCGCAGCGTGAAACCCCGAGAGGATTTATCTAGCAACGCTGGCACGCCGTTCTTGCGATTGGAAGCGGCAGGCAGCGCCTCTGAGCACGCTGGCGACGACGCCTGCACGCGGTCATCCTCAAGTCGCCCGAGCAGTGGATTCGTAACCTTCTTTGCCCCGACGAAGTTTTTGACGACGAGCAGCAGTGGGTGGCTTGGTGCTCGGTTGTCGTTCGTGCTCAGCTTCCGCCACATGTCTTCGGCCACCTCCTCGATCTCGTCGCGGACGAGGGGCACGGTGACCCGTTGTAACTGCTCGCCCAGGATTTGCGCGAGGACATCTTGGAGCTCGGCAAGGGCAGTCTCGAGGATTTGATCAACGAGCTTCAGACACGACTTAGCCATGAGCTGGAGTAGCGACGCGCCCGCCTTCACGCCCGACATGAGTACCTCGGGGGATGGGGGCCCCGCGTCAATCTCAACCCTCGACGTTGCAATTGTACTTGGCTGATCACGCATCCAGGGGGTTCCAGGGGGCGGCAGGAGAGTTGCATTACGCGCCCCCCGTCGCAGCTACCCAGCGAAAGCCACCCTGCGCAGCAACCAGCAACATCAGCGAAAATACAAGTCATGTCTCCGCAAGTCCCTCTTCTTGGCGAAGTGGAAGGTGCGCTACGTCGCCCAGTTGATGGAGAGCTCTGTGTTATGGGTGGCGTTGAGTCTTGCTGGGCTTCACCTGTCTTCCCTCATGGCGGCCCCGACGACAGGGTTGTTCTGTTCGTCGCCTTGCAGCGCTACGTTGATCATGGAAGCTTCCCTCGAGGCAACATTGATATGTTGTTTCAAGAACAAGTGCGCGTTTAAGTGCCTCGTCGAGTTCTCGGAGGTCGTTTTTCCATTCTCCTTGTCGGCGACGCCTATAGTGTCTTCACGCACCGAAGCCTACGAGTTTCAATATGACGGCCATCAAGATTTGGCCGGCATTTTCAACGAGGCATCAACTCGGCGATCGTCGTCGGGTTCGAGCCCCTAAACGAGGCGGCCCGCGCGTCTAGCGCTCAGGCGCGGCCCGCTTTCGCCGCGCATGGGGGGGATTCCCCCCAGGTTGCTCGCTCCTTCCTCCTCATTTTCCTTCTCGTTCACCGTCTCTCCTCCCCCCTCCTCGTCATTCCTTTTTTCTCCCCCTCCCACCGTAGGAGTTTGACAACAGGTCTGGAGGTGCTCAGCCGCTAATACCTTGGGTTGTCTCCGAAGAGCGGAGTTGCCCCACCCGCAGTTTTGATGAACCGAAGCGTGCCATGGCTTGACAAAGTTCCCGCGGCCCCCCCGCCGAACCGAACTCCTGTCCTCCAGCCCACCTTGCCTGGGATCCGAGGTCACAAATCGCTTGACAAATCGCGACCTGCACCCGTGATCCCAGTCGCGACCTGCACCCTTGATTCCAATGTTTGCAAAGAACGGCGGGCGGGCTGTCTCAATGTCACAGGCGCTTGTTTTGCCAGCGGGCCAAGAATGAACAATCGCCTGTCTTGTCATGGGCATTTCTAGGGGATGGGTTTTTGCGGCGAGCGGCGAGTATGAATCAGGAGTCCAGGAAGAGTCACGGGTCGCCGTCCCTACGTCGGGGCCACGGGAGGGTTGGGTCCCCGTGGCGAGCGGCACCAGGGAATCAAGGACGGCCATTTCGACGCTGGGGCCACGGGGGAGGGCGGGTCCCCGAGGCGAGCGGCACCCACGATTCAAGGGTCGCCACCTCCGCGATGGGGCCATGCGGGAGGGCGGGTCCCCGTGGCGAGCGGCACCCGGGAATCAAGGGTCGCCATTCCCGCAAGAAGGACGGGGCCAAGAATTCAGGAAGACCGACGCCGAGAATTCAGGAAGGACTGTCCTGCAGGAAGGACGGGGCCGAGAATTCAGGAATCCCCATTCTCGGATCTGGTCCGAATTTGAACCAGAATTTGGGTTGGAATCTGCTCCGTTTTGTTAAGCCGCACACAACACCTTACTTGAATTAGGGTTTTCACAGCCGCAGGCCAGGAAGCAAACATATGATTGTATCAGTAGCCCACCCGCTCTTTGTCTTTTTGCTGCATCCTTTGGCCCAGCTCGAGCCGCCAGTGCACTGGGGGCCGAATATTTGCGAAAACGCTTGGCCTGGCAAAAACTTTGGCGTTAGGATTTCAGGTTCTTTCCCTTCCAACCCCCGACGCCGTGATTTATTTTGCCGCGTGGGCCCCGACAGGTCCTTAACCCTGTGCCAGTGATATTCACATCGTAGGGATAATAAAGTTCGGGGCCCAGGGGGGACAATGACAGATGTTCCCGGCTACTCGCAGGTAGGCGTGTACCATGTACGGATGTACGGGCACGAAGTCTGAGAAATCCCCCTCGCTCTTGGTTGCGGCGGGGCCTTCCCTGGATGGGGTGGGACTTCTATTCGATGTCTCTGGTGATGTCCTGCTCGTCGTGTAGGAGTAAGCATGGTTGCGTCTTATGGGTGGTAAAAATGACGGCGGTACCAAAGCTCAATTTGGGCGCGGAGAGCGGAAGGAAGGGAGGGGGAGTAGAAGGCGGAGGAAGCAGAGAAGATAAGGAGTTGAAGTAAGAGAAGTATATATATATATATAAAAGGAGGAGGGAAGGATAAGGAAACGAAAAAGGAGGACGACGAGGAGAGGGAAGAGGAGGAGGAGGAGGAGGAGGAGGAGGAGATGTTCAATGATAACGAAGTTTCGGACATGTCGAATTCTTCTTGTCAAACTAGAGGACTCTTGCTGGTTTTATACCCGTCGTGTAGGAGTACTCATGGCTTTGAGGGCGATAAACAAGTTCAGCTGGGGCGCGGAGGGAGAAAGAAGGGGAGGGGGAGCAGTCTTTATGCTCACCGCGATACAGCAGGCATAGCACATAGCACTCGGGCGCCACATGGGGCCACGAACTGTCTGAGGGGTGTGCCAAAGTGGAGGTCTACGAGAGGGTGGTGATGATAACCACGGGTGCTAATGATGAGAACGAAGGATAACAGTGATGCTACGATCCAATATACGAGTCGCGTTTTCCCTGCTGGTCAGGAAGTTCGGCCTCGCCGCTCCGCCCGCCTACCAAGTATCAGTATCCCACGGATGACCATGACTCGGGGGTAAAGGGGGGAACGTTCTTATCGCGGGCATGCCGTAAGTACCCATTTCCCAAGATTCGTCTTCCATATCGGGACCGGCTTCATTGTTTGGGGGCCCAGCGAGGGCCCCAAAAGTCCGAACACTACAAACAAAAGCTCATCCTGTTTTGGTTCAATACGTTGGCGGTCATGGCCTTAATCCCTCCTCCCAGGATTGGAAAATTTGCAAAGGAGCCTCCAGGTGGGTAGCGGAGGAGGGAGGGTATGATGTAATTGCCCGGGGGGTGAATTCGGCATCTGCGCTGGTGTGCCCGTGGTCGAAAATACGCATAATCCAACATGGTCTGGCCAATCCCGCTTAAGCCGGTCTAGTCGCGCTGACTCCAGCTTGGTCCAGTTCAATCCTTGGCATCATCTTGGCTACTCATCCAGCTCAGCGACTCATCTGGCATGCCTACAGTCAGGGGCTTTGGTTGATCGCGTCGCGCCGCTGGTTCTGGCCCACCACGCTTCGGCGCGAGACGCCATCCACGTCCCAGTCCTTCAGCGTCAACGTCCCGAGCCTTCCCCAGCCTCCCGCCCCGTGGGGCGGAGCGACACGCAATCCACTCGCACGGTATGGCGTGTCGCCGGAACCGCCGCCGCGACACGCTAAACACAAACTCGTGATACGAGCCCTCGGCTACACGTAAGAGTAACCTTTCGCCAGAGACCTTCGGTGCGGGCACGCGGGGGGGGGCGGGGCCCAGACAATTGAACGCGATGCGACAGTAGCGTCTTGCGCGTTCGGGTTTGGCCTCCCCGCGGCCCCGAAGGTCACGCTTGCCTCGGGTCGCTCCTCCGTGTAGCCGAACGCCCCCCGGGCCTCTTGGCGGTCCCGGGGGCCTGTCAGGGTTAACTCGGGCTTGTCACTCTACAATCGGGGGACGATGTTTTAGTAGTTTTAATCTCTTTTGAATCTTTTTTTGGCTATTTTTAATCCTTCGCCCAAAATCCCCCTGTGAGGGGGACTGGCCCGGGGGGGCAGCGGCGGGGGCAGCGCGGCCACGGGCGAGCACTGGCCCGCGGGGCCCTGCAGGCGCGGCGGCAGGCGCGCGGGCCACGCGCGGGAGGCGCTCCTCGGCAGCGGCGCCGAGGTGGGCCCCCCTCCGGTGCAGCGAGGAGCACAGAATTAGCAGGCGCACGGCTCGTCCCCAGACCTCCTCGCGTCGTGAACAAAATCACGACGGAGGTGTTTCACTATCTTCGGCCTCTGGGGGCCATCGCCGGCCCTCGGGACCGTCAAGCATCGACTCTGGATGTAAACCGGTCCTGGGGAATGGGCCCGGACTTCTGGCGGTCGTGCCATGCAAAAATCATGACGTCGGGGGTCTGGGTCAGAGGAGAGATGGCAGCGAGATCTCGAGACCTCTCGCGTCTTGGCCCTGTCGGGCCTCCACGGATGCCCTCGTCGCCACGGTTGGATGCACTTCGGAATTCTGGTCCGAACGCGCCCCGGGAGAGGTTCGGCGAGTAACGGTATCGGTACCTCTTCTTCCCCCGCAGTTGGGATGGACGGCTCCGTGGTCAGTGCGATGTTGGCGGTGTTCGCGAGGGGTTGGCGCGAGGGGGCACTTTTCTTATTAAGCAGACGGGGGGTTCTTAGCAGGTGGTGACCTTCCTAGAAGGGCCTGGAGGCCTTCCCGAATACTTATTTGAAGGCCCTAACTTCTGGGAAGTTCCCCAGCCTTTTTAGATGGCCCCCCACTCGTGCTACCCCCTTGTGCTCGCCGCCAACGATGGTGGTTATTGCTGTCTACCTGCGCAGATACAATCCACTCAGTCAAGTCTCACCACCATTTCGCCATCCACATTGTGACTGACCGATTTGCAGATGGTCCAGCAAGGATTCTGGCCCCCGATCACCACCTTCGGAAGACGAGTTGACGGCTTCGAATTTCAGGATCACAATGCGGTGTTTCAAACTGTTGTTGCATACCGGCTCAACCACCCTCGCCCCTGCCTCCATTCCGGAAAGTCGAAGAGGAGGGTCAAGGGAGAAAGAGCCCCCCCGACCCTCACGAATGTAATTTAACATGTTTCCAGGTCTCCGCCCCATTAAGGAGGTTTTTGCTTTTTGTTGTCTGCACATGTACTAGACTATCAAAGGCGTGTGTTGTGGTTAGCTACGCTGTTCCGGTACCATGCAAGTAAGAGGATTGATGAGTTTTTCTCTGTAGCGCAGTATTCGCACCAATATTGGTGCGTTCCGTTCGACTTCGCCGATAGGGCAAGGATGGCGGCTTGCTTCAAGGGCAACAGTATACAGGAATATGAAGTGCAATGGATGTACAAATTGGCAACTTGCAATCGCAAGGCGCTGCCATATACGATCAAACCAATTGCAACCTGGGCCCCCCCCAGCCCCCTGGGCGGGGAAGGGATCAACGGGAAGGTGCTTCCGTTCGATTCAATCACGACCCAGGTCGATTCACAACTCGGGTCGGCCAGCGTGGACAGCTCCCCATGTGGCCGCAGGGACAGGGGAAGGGGGAGCTCCTGAGGACGGGGCCCCCGTGTGGCCGCCACAGGGACATCATATCTTCGAGTGAAACACCCCCTCGCGTTTGGAATCCAAACAGGGGTCGTTTTGCACTCCCGTGATACAGTGTGCAATGCTCGACGCAGAGAACTCGGAGAGATCTGACGACACCGCTCCAGGTGTCTGCCGCACGGCGGCGTAGAAGCTGAGCGGTGTGCCTCCAAGGAGACATCGTGACTGGTTCACCGCCTCGCCCTCTCCCTTCCGTCCTTCCGCGCCCCACGTTCCAGGCGGCACGATGCGATGCACCAGTGTTGCTCCCCTCCCGTGGGGCATGGCACCGCTTGCATCACCGAGCGTGTTCCACCACTCGCAAAGTGCCCACTCCCAAACGTCCGACAAAAAAGCACACGCTCGCCGCGATGTCATGTATCGTGGATCCTCCGCGGCAGATCCGGGCCATTTGCGAGCAGTGACTTAGCGAGTAGTGGAACGCGCTCGCCTATCCCAGCTGGTTGTCTGTGCTGTTGCCGTATGTTGCCCAGGTGCTCGAAGTGATCGGCAGCGCCCGCGAGCTGGGAGAGGCTCCCGTGGCCACGGGGGGGACGGCGAGCAGTCACCAGGACGCCGCGGGCAACAAGCGGAAGGCCTACGCCGAGCACGCCAGGCCTGCGGAGCAGCAGCGCATGCCATGGAGAGGGAATGAGCAGGGTTAGCAGCATGAGCACGGGAGAATATTGGAAATATGGGAAGTGGCGGGGAAGACAAACATGCTGAAAACACGGAACTTTGTGTGTGTGTGTGTTCTTGGTTATTGAGCTCCTTCAGCTTCGCGCGTCGCGGCCAGCTTCCATGGGGGCTGCGCGAGAGTGTGCAAAGACAAGGCGAGCGTCGCGCATCGCGGCAGGAGGTGGCCCCTGGGGCAGGCGGGAGGGTGAGACAGAAGGGGCTGGCAGGCATTTGCGAGATGCTGTGCGCGGGGCCAACCGGACCGACCACCTGCGGGAGTAGGGCTGCGCGGCCGCTCGAGCACGTGTGGTGCCGCCCCGGGTGACCCCGCGGGCGACACTGGCGAGGGCGGACGTCGCCGATTCCGCGGCGACGTGGAGGGCGCTCTGCTGGTGGCCTTGCTCCTCCGGCTCCTCCTGACGCCTGCTCTTGCTGCTGCTGGCCCGGATGCTCCTGCTTCTGCTGCTCGCCGACCCTCTCAGCCTTCTCCTCCCTCCTGACGCCTGCTCCTGCTGCTGGTTGCTCCGCCTCCGCCTGCTGGGATGCAGGCCGTCAGCTAGTAGTTATCAAGTTGACATCTCTGGGGTGCCCTTTGCTGTATAATGCTGCTCCTCCTGCTGTCTTGTTCCCGCTGCTCCTCGCTTCCTTGTCCAGTAGGGAGAACCAGGTTGCGAGCGCTAATATAGGATAAGTCCAATTTGATGGCTGAGGACATGTCTCCTGTTGCGTCTTGGTATCGGACGTGACGTGCATGGTCGCATGCTCCTCGCCGTAGGAAGGCAAGGGCCCCCTGCCGTAGATGGGTGGGCGACGGCCGTGTCGCGGAATGTGAAGAAAAGCGCGTGCGTGCCCCTTTCTTTGGAGCGTGGGCGTGGACCTGTCATTTTCTTTTGTCATTTGTGGGGGAGAAGGGCACATGATGTCAACCAGTCAGGCCCCGGCGAAGTTCGGCGACCTGTCTTGCAGCACGGCAGTTGAGTACACATAGCTCAACTGGCCATCCTTCGTGGGGCTGGCTTGTTTTTGATGATTTCTGAGAGTTCTGTGTACGGTTTGTCACCTGCACGGCACAGCCCTGGGGCTAGGAGCAGCCGCAACCGAGCCGAAGAAGGTACGATATGAGTTAGACACAGCCAGCACGATGCACAGTGACCAAGTATGCAGGCGGAGCGTACCAAGATATCGTGTATCATTGGCATGGCCAGCCTGCGCGAGATTTGGATACACATTGTGACCGCATGTATTGGCAGCGCTCGGCCCCCGCATGTCCACGTGTACCAAGCCAGTGCATGGGCATCGAGAGCGTGACATCCACATGCTCAGCGTTTGATTCCCATTGTGTGGCTGTGTGTGTGTGTTCAACTTCCTGGTATTCTCGCGTGGATCGTCTCGGCGTCGTTCTGGTACGTGCTGCGTCGTCGACCTCAAATTGCATGTTAGTCCGCATCGACCGTCCTGGGTCAGACGAATGGTCAGAATGGCAAGGAGGAAGAGCGCCAGCAGTAGCTGCCACAACGGCGGCAGCAGCGGCGCGAATATCATGAAGCGCCATGAGAGCAGACGGGGCAGAGAAGCTCGAAATGAGGAGGCAGACGAAGGGGATGGGGGAGGTGGGATGAAGGAGATGGTGGGTTGGAAGGGCATGGACGATCAGAAACAACATAACGGAGGAACACACACATTAAAAGGAGTAGGAGGAGGAGGAGAAGGAGGAGGATGCAGACAACAACGAGGTGCAATAATAAGAGATAAGGAAGACACGAGTCGCATGTGGAGGAGGAGAGGGAGGACAACGACACTACATGTGCATACGCAGAGGAGAAGGTAAGCGCGATAAGAAGATGGGAGAGAGAGAGAGAGAACTAATACTGAGAAAGAAAGAGCAAGAGAGAGCGAGAGAGAGCGAGAGAGAGAGAGAGACTTGGGCCATCTTGGGCCCATCTGGAGCGGAAAAGTCCTTCTTAACTGGTTCTGGGCAAATTTTCCAGGTGCCCGGCACAATCAGCCGAAGCCTCAGGGGGAGTCTTTAAAAGAACTAGAAACAATCAGAAGTGCTGCACGCCAGGCGTCTCTGTGATAAACCAACAGGGGGCGGCGAACCTAGTGGTCTTCGAACCATCCCGCCGCCATGCTTGGGTTTCAGTTCGGAGGCCTCTTGGGAATCTGTTGAGAGGCCTCTCAGACGCCTCCTGGATTCGGTTCTGGGGTGTTTGGGGGTTTTCGGCTGGCCCGATCTGGGTCTACTTCGATGTTCCGACGTTCCGATGCGTCCAGATGCTCGCATGGCATCGTTGAACATCTTGTCGCCGCCGACCCGCTTCGATTACAGATCCATGCCCATCGGGCCAAATAGGACGCCCTGACCCGATCCTCTGATTCCGTGGTGGCTGATCGTGCGCCAGGTGAGGAGGTTTCGGAGCCATGCAGGTAAGACGTTGACATGCTTAGAAGGCCACATGCGAACCCTGCCCCACCACCCCACGATTTCTAAGGCGGGAGGTAGGGTTCACTTCGTTCGTGACCTCCCGAGCGAAGTGCCCCCCCCCCCCCCCTGGAAAATCGTGGGGTGGTGTGGCAGGGTCAGGGTTCGCATGTGGCCTCCTAATGAGCAGGCGATCGCAGGCATGGATCAAGGGGGCGTGGATTGGCGACGGGCCCCGTTTCCATGGGAAACCGCAGATTTCCGCCGCCGAACGAGGCGGCACCGCCCGCATTTTGGAGAGGGCACCTCCCCCGATCCATGGACTTGGCGACCGCGCGCCAAATCCATGGATCGCTAATCCATGTTTGCGCGCCCCCGAAACTATATGTGCGTCGGCGCCCCACGGCGAGGAGAGAGTCCCGATGGGCCAATTTTCCACCAACACTACCATAGGTAGGAGAGAGAGGAGGAGAAGGAGGAGGAGGAGGAGGAGGAGGAATCCGCCGCCCCCTGCTTGCAGGGGTGCACGGCGTGCTGGACGAGCTGTCAGGTTTTGGTTTTGGTTCTTTTTCCAAAAGAACTCCCCAGTGGGCTCCGGCAGAACCCGCCGGCCACCCGGAAGGTGCTCAACGACCGGAAACAATCCTCCAAAAAACGGCCGTTTCGCTCGGGACATCCTCAAAAAATCGCGAAGATGGCCCAAGATGGCCTCCAAGTCCGCCCGAGATGGTCCAAGACGGCCTCCAAAACGGCCCAAGAGAGTCCAAGACGGCCCAAGACGGCCCAAGAGGCCCCCCAGAGGCCTCCCAGACGGCCCAAGAGGCCTCCAAGAGGTCCTCCAGGAGAGTCCGAAGAGGCCAAAATCATTGATTTTTCCTTGGTTTTTGAAGGATTCTGGCATTTGCGCCTTTTCGGCTCTCCGACGGCTCGAGACGGCCCAAGAAGCCCCCAAGATCGCCCAAGAGGCCCCCAAGAGAGCCCCATGATGGCCCAAGTGGCCTCCAAGATGGCCCCTAGAGGGCCCCAAGAGGGCCCAAGAGGCCTCCAACACGCCCAAGATGGCCTCCCAGACGCCCAAGATGGCCTCCAAGACGGCCCTGGAGCATTCCAAGCGGGCCCCAAGTCGGCCCATAGAGGCCCCCCAAACGGCTTCCGACGGCTTCAGACGTGCCAGGAACCCACCAAGATGGCCGAAGTTGGCTCGAAGCTGGCCCGAGACGGCCCAAAAAGCCCCAAAGATCGCCCAAAGCTTGCCCAAGAGGCCTCCAAGACGGCCAAGATGACCTTCAAGATGCCCACGTGTTCCCCGAAGGCTTTCCAAACCGAATCGGGGAACACGTGGTCCGATAGCTTGGCAGGTCTGGCCTCAACGTTCGGCCACATAGGCGCTTCCAAAAAGGCAGGGGGCGGCGGTGATTCGCCGTAGGCGTCTTCGATAGGAAGAGGAGAAGGAGGAGGAGGAGGAGGAGGAGGAGGAAGAAGAGAACGAGGAGGAGGAGGAGGAGGAGAAGGAGGAGGAGGAGGAGGAGGAGGAGGAGTTGTTGCGCGCCCCCGAAATGAGGACCCCCTTTGGGCTCAGGAGGGGCGCCCCGGGCTTCCGGGCCGGTCCTCGGAGATTTCTGTCGGGGGATTACTGTTGTTCGTGGCCGGGGCTCGCCGGGGCCAGAAGAGAGCCTCAGGCCAGCGTTTTCTGTGGCATCATGGTCTCTGAAGGTGGAGGGGGGCGAGGGGGACGAGGAGGAAGAGGGCGAGGATGCGGAGGAGAAGGTGGACGTCTCCACATCTTCTCTACGTCTCGCTTCTTCCCTGAGGAGCCCCCGACCCCCTCTGTGTTGAGACGAGGGGTGCTCGGCAGGACAGGCGGTTGCAGGACTACCTTCGTCAACCGTTAGCAGCAGCAGGAGGCGGACGATGAGGAGAAGTGCGCCGTGCTGCCGCATCCCGTCCGCGCGCGCGCTTCGCAGGGCCTGGCCCGGGCTCTGTGCAGGCCGCCGTGCGCTTCCCGAGCGTGTCGGGCGAGCCAGGGGTGCTCTGCCCGCGTCCTCGCCTTCCTCCTGCGCCTGGATCCCATGACAATCATGATCACCTTCATCAGCAGCAGCATCATCACCATCATCATCACAATCATCATCATTATCATCATTGACATCGTCATCATCATCAGCATCAGCAGCATCGTCATCATCAACATCGTCAATATAATCACCCTCATCAACATCATCATCACCAGCATCATCATCATCATCATCATCATCATCATCATCATTATCATCATCATCATTATCGCCGTCATCATCATCATCATCGTCGTCATCATCATCATCAGCACCAGCAGCATCAGCATCGTCATCATCAGCATCGTTGTCATCAGCATCGTCATCATCATTACCATCACCATCATCATCGTCGTCATCATCACGATCATGATTACCACCATCACCATCAGCATCATCATCATCATCATCACCACCATCATCGTCATCGCCAGCGCCAGCGCCATCGCCATCGGCAGCAGCATCATCATTGCCATTACCATTATAATCACCATCAACATCATCATCAGCAGCATCATCATCACTGCCATCATTTCCGTCACCGTCAGCATCATCATCACCTTCATCACCACCATCACCATCATCATCACCATCAACACCGTCATCATCATCATCATCATCATCATCATCATCATCATCATCAGCATCATCATCATCATCATCATCATCATTATCATCATCATCATCATCATCATCATCATCATCATCATCCCCGAGTGCTGGAGGTTTCCAGCGCTCGCTTTCTTGAACGAGTTTGATTGCGCGTGCCGGATAATTTAGAAGTGGTTGATCTCACACTCCTGTTCTCTTGGAAACGGGCTGCACAGTACCCGAGATAGTCTAGGAGTTGGAACTCATGTCAAAGTGATGTGCCTTTTTCGTTTCAAATGTCAGAAATGCTCTGCCCGAGCTTGGCCACTGAGGGAGTTGCGAGAGTGCGTTGCGCAGCACGGGCTCAATTGGGCCGGAAATGAAACACTCACCTATGTCTTTGATTTCATTGTTCTGGCTCATCGCATCGCTCGTCACTCAGTCCGCTCGCGGACAGCAAGGATCGACGCTGCCATCCTCCTTCCCCTCCTCTTGATCATCACTGTCATCTCTTCACGTCCCTGGCGAAGGACCTCTTTTCAGCGGTGAACTGCTTCGTGATTGACCCCGCTGCCGCAGCGGCACGTGCCACGTGCCTCAGTGCCGCTGACGGTCTCCCCCGTGTTGGCGCTCGTGCTCCTCGTCGTCGCCGCGTTCGGCGTCGAGAAGGTTTCTGAGG